CGAGACCAGTTCTACTCCCACCGACACACCAGACCAGTTCTACTCCCACTGACACCCAGACCAGTTCTACTCCCCCCGACACCCAGACCAGTTCTACTCCCACTGACACCCAGACAGTTTCTACTCCCACTGACACCCAGACCAGTTTCTACTCCCATTGACACCCAGACCATTTCTACTCCCACTGACACCCAGACCAGTTCTACTGCTGACACCCAGACCATTTCTACTCCCCCCGACACCCAGACCAGTTCTACTCCCACTGACACCCAGACCATTTCTACTCCACTGACACCCAGACCATTTCTACTCCCCCCGACACCCAGACCAGTTCTACTCCCGATGGCCACAGCCCGGCCCCCCCTAAAGTCTGAAGGACAGTAAACTGGCCCTTTGCTTAGAAAGCCGGATGCAGAATCTTGTTCAGATGTCTATTTAAAAGTTTCCAGGAGATGGCGCTCCAACAAAGCAAATGAGCCGCTCCCCCCTCTCCAGTATTGGCAATCAGGGAATATCTATCCAGAGATCAATAATGTGATCAGATGTCTGATACTGTCTCCCTCCCCCCACTCCGGGACGTGTTTAACCCTTTAATGATGAAGGTCCAAGCGCTCTCAACGCCTGAACCCAACACGGAAAACTGTACATATCACCCCTCCATTCCGAGGACACGGGGGGGGGGGGGATTTACTAAAACACCAAATGTCAGCACAGTGCAAATCCCGCTCTCCCCGGACCCCGCATTCACTATATCCGCTCTCCCCGGACCCCGCATTCCCTATATCCGCTCTCCCCGGACCCCACATTCACTATATAGCTCCCGGACCCCGCATTCACTCCCCGCATTCACTATATCCGCTCTCCCCGGACCCCGCATTCACTATATCCGCTCTCCCCGGACCCCGCATTCACTATATCCGCTCTCCCCGGACCCGCATTCACTATATCCGCTCTCCCCGGACCCCGCATTCACTATATCCGCTCTCCCCGGACCCCGCATTTCACTATATCCGCTCTCCCGGACCCCGCATTCACTATATCCGCTCTCCCCGGACCCCGCATTCACTATATCCGCTCTCCCCGGACCCCGCTCTCCCCGGACCCCGCATTCACTATATCCGCTCTCCCGGACCCCCGCATTCACTATATCCGCTCTCCCCGGACCCCGCATTCACTATATCCGCTCTCCCCGGACCCCGCATTCACTTCCCTATATCCGCTCTCCCCCCGGACCCCGCATTCACTATATCCGCTCTCCCCGGACCCCGCATTCACTATATCCGCTCTCCCCGGACCCCGCATTCACTATATCCGCTCTCCCCCCGACCCCCGCATTCACTATATCCGCTCTCCCCGGACCCCGCATTCACTATATCCGCTCTCCCCGGACCCCGCATTCACTATATCCGCTCTCCCCGGACCCCGCATTCACTCCCCGGACCCCGCATTCACTGCCGCTCTCCCGGACCCCGCATTCACTTATATCCGCTCTCCCGGACCCCGCATTCACTATATCCCCTCTCCCCGGACCCCGCATTCACTATATCCTCTCCCCTCCCGGACCCCGCATTCACTATATCCGCTCTCCCCGGACCCCGCATTCACTATATCCGCTCTCCCCGGACCCCGCATTCACTATATCCGCTCTCCCCGGACCCCGCATTCACTATATCCGCTCTCCCCGGACCCCGCATTCACTATATCCGCTCTCCCCGGACCCCGCATTCCCTATATCCGCTCTCCCCGGATTCACTATATCCCCTCCATGCGCATTCCCTGTATCCGCTCTCCCCCTACCCTCTGGACCCCGCATTCCTGTATCCGCTCCCCCCCCCGCATTCACTATATCCGCTCTCCCCGGACCCCGCATTCACTATATCCGCTCTCCCCGGACCCCGCATTCACTATATCGCTCTCCCCGGACCCCGCATTCACTATATCCTCTCTCCCCGGACCCCGCATTCACTATATCCGCTCTCCCCGGACCCCGCATTCACTATATCCGCTCTCCCCGGACCCCGCATTCACTGTATCCTCTCTCCCCGGACCCCGCATTCACTATATCCGCTCTCCCCGGACCCCGCATTCACTATATCCGCTCTCCCCGGACCCCGCATTCACTGTATCCGCTCTCCCCGGACCCCGCATTCACTATATCCGCTCTCCCCGGACCCCGCATTCACTATATCCGCTCTCCCCGGACCCCCGCATTCCCTATATCCACTCTCCCCCCCCCCCGTGCTCCCCTGAATGCGATACATTCCCCTGACAGTCAGGAGTCTGCTTGGGGGGGGTGCAGCAATCAGGAATGCATGTAAATCCTCCCGCTGTTGGGTCCGTACGCCGCGGTGAATGAAGAGACCGCTGGACATATGTGCTCCGCGGGGGTGGGGTGTGGGGGGGGGGGGGGCAATGAGTTAACACTGAACGGAACAGAAAACATTTTTTTTGCCTTTAGATGACATTTCAGGACAGGAAAGCTCGCTGGTCCCCCAATGATCAATGTTCAGGGATCACCTGATAGGCCGGCCCAGAGCCCTCCCCCCACGAGGGGTATACGGATACAAGACCCCCGTATACTGTACTCAGTAGCCTCAAACATGCGGGGGACAAGAATACATCTAGAAACGTTAAGAAAAAAACAAAAAAAAAAAAACCCCCAAAACCAACCAAACAAAAAACAAGCCCCAAGAAAACAAACATTTTTTTTCTGTTTCTATCTGTAAATAAAAGATGCAGATGCTGCGCCCGTACAAAGGGAGGGGGAGGAGGATGGAGCAGCCAATCAGGATCGGGCTGCCATTGTCCTGATGCCTGGGGGGGGGGGGGCAGGAAGGCTGCAGTTTCTGTCTGATTCGGGTTCACACCGATGCGGTTCAGAATTGGCAGCATTTTCTGTGCAAGTTCCACACCGCATCAGAATCGCACCCCGTTCCCGCGAGCCGCTGCGGCTGTGTATGTCAACACCCCGAAATCTGTCCAAACGCGGTGCGATGTGCAGAACCGGATCCCAGGCGTGTGAGTACCGAGCGATCCCATTCCTGTGCGGTGCGATGTGCAGAACCGGATCCCAGACGTGTGAGTACCGAGCGATCCCATTCCTGTGCGGTGCGATTTGAACCATATAAAATGTACGACTCCAATCGCACCGCACAGAATTCACATGTGATATGGACGGGAATGTGCTGAGGTTCCGGGGTGAATCACATGCGATATGGACAGGAATGCAGTGAGGTTCCGGGTGTGAATCACATGCGATATGGACGGGAATGCGGTGCGGTTCCGGGGTGAATCACATGCGATATGGACAGGAATGCGGTGCGGTTCCGGGGTGAATCACATGTGATATGGACAGGAATGCGCTGCAGTTCCGGGTTGAATCACGTGATATGGACAGGAATGCGGTGCGGTTCCGGGGTGAATCACATGTGATATGGACAGGAATGCGCTGCAGTTCCGGGTTGAATCACGTGATATGGACAGGAATGCGCGTGCGGTTCCGGGGTGAATCACATGCGATATGGACGGGAATGTGCTGAGGTTCCGGGGTGAATCACGTGATATGGACAGGAATGCGCTGAGGTTCCGGGGTGAATCACATGCGATATGGATGGGAATGCAGTGAGGTTCTGGTGTGAATCACATGCGATATGGACGGGAATGCAGTGAGGTTCCGGGGTGAATCACATGCGATATGGACAGGAATGCGGTGCGGTTCCGGTGTGAATCACATGCGATATGGACAGGAATGAAGTGAGGTTCCGGGGTGAATCACATGCTATATGTTCAGGAATGCGGTGAGGTTCTGGGGTGAATCACATGCGATATGGACGGGAATGCAGTGCGGTTCCGGGGTGAATCACATGCGATATGGACGGGAATGCAGTGAGGTTCGGGGGTGAATCACATGTGATATGGACAGGAATGCGGTGAGGTTCCGGGGTGAATCACATGTGATATGGACAGGAATGCAGTGAGGTTCTGGGGTGAATCACGTGATATGGACAGGAATGCGGTGCGGTTTCGGGGTGAATCACATGTGATATGGACAGGAATGCGGTGCGGTTTCGGGGTGAATCACATATGACATGGACAGGAATGCAGTGCGGCGGTTCCGGGGTGAATCACGTGATATGGACAGGAATGCGGTGCGGTTTCGTGGTGAATCATGTGATATGGACAGGAATGCGGTGCGGTTCCGGGGTGAATCACATGCGATATGGACAGGAATGCGGTGCGGTTTCGGGGTGAATCACATGTGATATGGACAGGAATGCGGTGAGGTTCCGGGGTGAATCACGTGATATGGACAGGAATGCGGTGCGGTTTCGGGGTGAATCACGTGATATGGACAGGAATGCGGTGAGGTTCCGGGGTGAATCACGTGATATGGACAGGAATGCGGTGTGGTTTCGGGGTGAATCACGTGATATGGACAGGAATGCGGTGAGGTTCCGGGGTGAATCACATGCGATATGGACAGGAATGCGGTGAGGTTCTGGGGTGAATCACGTGATATGGACAGGAATGCGGTGCGGTTTCGGGGTGAATCACGTGATATGGACAGGAATGCGGTGCGGTTTCGGGGTGAATCACGTGATATGGACAGGAATTCGGTGCGGTTTCGGGGTGAATCACGTGATATGGACAGGAATGCGGTGTGGTTTCGGGGTGAATCACGTGATATGGACAGGAATGCGGTGCGGTTTCGGGGTGAATCACATGTGATATGGACAGGAATGCGGGTGAGGTTTCGGGGTGAATCACGTGCGATATGGACAGGAATGTGGTGAGGTTTCGGGGTGAATCACATGCGATATGGACAGGAATGCGGTGAGGTTTCGGGGTGAATCACGTGATATGGACAGGAATGCGGTGCGGTTTCGGGGTGAATCACATGCGATATGTCGCACCACACATGTGATCCCGGGCTCACGGCGAGAAGTCGTTGCCTATCCCACCCAGATATTTCCTTCATCCATGATTCCATGACGGCTCCTCCACCGCCAGCATTTCCATCTTTCCTCACTAGGGGGCACTCTGGATTCACAGGAAGTCCCCCCAACCTTCTCTCTTCACTCATTTAAAATGTATTTTGTTTGTTTTTTTCTACGTTTTGTGTTTTTTGCGCCCCACCAACCAGCACCGGCGCTGCAGCGTGTCCTCCGAAGACCGAGATTTATGGGGACTGGATGAGGGATTAATACGCAAACGGAAGCTTTTCATTTTGAATAATCTTTTTATTCCTTTTATATCTTTGCGTTTCGGGAAAGGCGAGCCGAGGCGTTCTTACCGCGGTCGCTGCTGCGAATGGCGGAACGTGCGCTGCCAAGACACGGCGCGCTCAATCCAGAGGGGGGCGACGCTGAGACATCTGATGGAGGTTTCAGGAAAGGAACTGGGATCATGAGAATGTGCAGGGGTGCGGAAGTGCTCCCTCTAGGGGCCACAGGTATATATGTCAGTGCAATCCTTACAGTACACCCATTCACTTGTATCAGGGGCGGACTGACCATTGGAAACTTGGGCACTGTCCGAGGGCCCGGGGTCAGTAGGGGGCCCCATGAGATGCCCCTGGTACCTTTCATAGGCTTTTTTGGGTGTGGTTTGAGTGTGGGCGAGGACACAGGGGGCCCCATGATCGCCTATTGCCCGGGGGCCCCATGAGTTGTCAGTCCGCCCCTGCTTGTATGCATTGTCTTTGTCTTCTAATCCCTGTCCAGTTTAACCGCTTCGTGCCGGCGCCTCCCGGCCCTTTAAGAGTTTCAGAAGCCGGGAGGCGGGGCGGGGTTTTAGGGTCATGTGACTGCCGTGATTCGCCGTCATGGTGGTCACATGATTGGAAAAGGTCCCAATCGAAAGGGGAGATCGGGACCTTTCCATGAGTCACGGACATATGTGCTGGGAGCACGCAGGGCGCACGCTCTCAGCACATGTTTTTCTAATTGCACACAAATATGCGACCGCTCAGCATCAAGGCCCAAACCCCGAGAGGTCGCATGTTTGTGTGCGCTCGGCGTCAGGGGGTTAAGCCGGTGCCATGACTGATGCACCAGGTGTCCTGCCCCAGGGGGGCTCCTTTCTCTTGCACCCTCCTATGGCACCAACCTTCTATACGGGGACTAGAGTTGTGTCTCCCTACACTGTGTGCATCAATAGAAACATACAGCCTCATAGACTAAGATGGCTGGGGACTCCCCTGCACCTCCCTCCTCCCCCCATCCCTTCTCCAAACCAATCACGTGTCAGGAAACTGCACTGTCCACCGTTAACTCTTTCCTGTGAAGACTGGACGTTCAGGGAAGTAGCACTGAGAGATCAGCATTGAAAGTCCAGATGTCGAGAGACCGCATATTTGTGTGCGCTCGGCGTCAAGGGGTTAAGCCGGTGCCATGACCAATGCCCCAGGGGGGCTCCTTTCTCCTGCACCACCCTTCTATGCGGGGACTAGAGTTGTGTCTCCCTACACTGTGTGCATCAATAGAAACACACAGCCTCATGGACTAAGATGGCTGGGGACTCCCCTGCACCTCCCTCCTCCCCCCATCCCTTCTCCAAACCAATCAAGTGGCAGGAGACTGCACTGTCCACCGTTAACTCTTTCCTGTGAAGACTGGAAGTTCAGGGAAGTAGCACTGAGAAAGCAGCATTGAAAGCTGCCAGGGTAAGAATTGTAACAATGTTCATTTTGTTGTACCCAATGCGGTGAACTACAAATGCTATGGGTGGGGGGGGGGTAAAATACTAATACTGGAGTTTAATACTACTTTATAGAACACCAACTGCATGGTGAGGCAGCCAGAGGGATCATTGAAGGTCTGTTGACAGAGTCCATAGATATGAAGCCTCAGGAACTCAGTGGAGGGATCTCCCCAGTCCCCTTGCAGCAACCAATCAGGGCCCTGTGCAGGCCACTCCAATCTATTATTTTCTGCAGGGCAAAGTTGAACATCAAAAAAGGATTCTGAGCTCCCTGTAGGAACTTGACTCCGCACTCTATGAGGTATATATAGGCAAAGGTTTGTGGACACCTCACCATCCCTCCTATATGAGCTGGTTGGACATCTATTACAACACCATGAAGACCATCCCATCTAGATGGACTTGGTGGACACGACAACCATGGCCATTTACAGAGTTCTACCCCCTTTTCTTGGCTACAACATCCTCCACTCTTCTGGGAAGACTTTCCACAACATTTTGGAGAGTGTCTTTGGGGATTGTGGGTCCATTTGTGAGGTCAGGTACTGATGATGGATGAGAAGATCTGAGTCACAGATGACGCTTCGATTCATCCCAAAGGTGTTCAGTAGGGTTGAGGTCATGATGGAGCCCAGGTGTCTCCAGTGAAGGGTACTCCTAAAACGACATCATACAAAGACAATTGTGCTCTTCCAATTGTGTGGTAAGAGTTTGGTGAAGACCCTTTTCTGTCCCCCATGACTGTCCCCCATGTACAAAGCCAGCTCCATAAAGACATGGATGTCCAGTTTGGTGAAGACCCTTTTCTGTTCCCCCATGACTGTCCCCTGTGTACGAAACCAGCTCCATAAAGACATGGATGACCAGTTTGGTGAAGACCCTTTTCTGTTCCCCCATGACTGTCCCCCGTGTACAAAGCCAGCTCCATAAAGACATAGAGGACCAGTTTGGTGAAGACCCTTTTCTGTCCCCCCATGACTGTCCCCTGTGTACAAAGCCAGCTCCATAAATACATGGATGACCAGTTTGGTGAAGGCCCTTTTCTGCCCCCCCCCCCCCCATGACTGTCCCCTGTGTACAAAGCCAGCTCCATAGGGCATCGATGACCAGTTTGGTGAAGACCCTTTTCTGTCCCCCCATGACTGTCCCCTGTGTACAAAGCCAGCTCCATAAAGACATGGATGACCAGTTTGGTGAAGACCCTTTTCTGTTCCCCCCATGACTGTCCACCGTGTACAAAGCCAGCTCCATAAAGACATGGATGACCAGTTTGGTGAAGACCCTTTTCTGTCCCCCATGACTGTCCCCCGTGTACAAAGCCAGCTCCATAAAGACATGGATGACTAGTTTGGTGTGGAGGAACTCACGTGTCCTGTACAGAGCCCCGACCTCAACCTTCTGAACACCTTTGGGATGACTTAGAACACCGATTGTGGGTCGAGTCTTTCCATCCAACATCAGTACCTGACCTCAGAAAATGTTCTTTTAGCTGAATGAGCAAGGGAAGTAAAAGGTTCCAGTTCTCCTCAGTAGGGTTGAGGTCAGGACTCTGTACAGGACACTCCAGTTCTTCCACATCAAACTGGTCATCCATGTCTTTATGGAGCTGGCGTTGCACAAAGTCATGGGGGGACAGAAAAGGGTCTTCACCAAACTGGTCATCCATGTCCTATGGAGCCAGTGTTGTACACAGGGGACAGTCATGGGGGACAGAAAAGGGTCTTTACCAAACTGGTCATCCATGTCTTTATGGAGCTGGCTTTGTACACAGGAGACAGTCATGGGGGGAACAGAAAAGGGTCTTCACCAAACTGGTCATCCATGTCTTTATGGAGCCAGTGTTGTACACAGGGGACAGTCATGGGGGACAGAAAAGGGTCTTCACCAAACTGGTCATCCATGTCTTTATGGAGCTGGCTTTGTACACAGGAGACAGTCATGGGGGACAGAAAAGGGTCTTCACCAAACTGGTCCTCCATGTCTTTATGGAGATGGCTTTGTACACGGGGGGACAGTCATGGGGGACAGAAAAGGGTCTTCACCAAACTGGTCCTCCATGTCTTTATGGAGATGGCTTTGTACATGGGGGACAGTCATGGGGGACAGAAAAGGGTCTTCACCAAACTGGTCATCCATGTCTTTATGGAGCTGGCTTTGTACACAGGGGACAGTCATGGGGGAACAGAAAAGGGTCTTCACCAAACTTACCACAAGGCTGGAAGAGCACAATTGTCTCCAATGTCTTTGTATGATGGAGGATCACCGGGACCCGTCACTGGAGACAAATGAAGTCAAAACATTGGAGACAATTGTGCTGCCCTCTCGGTGCCCTCATAGCAAACTGCTTGCTATGGGGGCATCCAACAGAAAGGAGGAGCCAGGAGCACCGGCAAGGGACCACAAGAGAAGAGGAGGATCCAAGAGCACCGGCAGGGGACCAGAGAAGAGGAGGATCCAGGAGCACCGGCAGGGGACCAGAGAAGAGGAGGATCCAGGAGCACCGGCAGGGGACCAGAGAAGAGGAGGATCCAGGAGCAGCGGCAGGGGACCAGAGAAGAGGAGGATCCAGGAGCACCGGCAGGGGACCAGAGAAAGGAGGATCCAGGAGCACCGGCAGGGGACCAGAGAAGAGGAGGATCCAGGAGCACCAGCAGGGGACCAGAGAAGAGGAGGATCCAGGAGCAGCGGCAGGGGACCAGAGAAGAGGAGGATCCAGGAGCACCGGCAGGGGACCAGAGAAGAGGAGGATCCAGGAGCACCGGCAGGGGACCAGAGAAGAGGAGGAGCCAGGCTGCGCTGTGCATTGCCCGCAGTAGGTAAGTATAACATGTTTGTTATTTTACAAAAAAATTTAAAATGAGCCTTTAGTATCTCTTTAAGGATGCATATTCCCGGATGGGTGACAAAAATGGCTGAACTCACCCTTTGGGGCGTAATGACGTCTTGTGGCCCCCCGTCCTGACACATTTTGTCATGTGATCAGTGACTTAATCATTGGAAAAATTTATATTGGACTATACACATTTTAGTTGCGCTACACTTTCCCCCCATTGGACTGCTGATTGATTTATCTTACCGATGTTCTGCTTTTATGTGTTTTCATGTTATTCAGGTGTTCCAATCCCCTCCATATCATGTGATTCAGGTGTTCCAATCCCCTCCATATCATGTGATTCAGGTGTTCCAATCCTCTCCATATCATGTGATTCAGGTGTTCCAATCCTCTCCATATCATGTGATTCAGGTGTTCCATCCCCTCCATATCATGTGATTCAGGTGTTCCGATCCCCTCCATATCATGTGATTCAGGTGTTCCAATCCCCTCCATATCATGTGATTCAGGTGTTCCGATCCCCTCCCTATCATGTGATTCAGGTGTTCCGATCCCCTCCCTATCATGTGATTCAGGTGTTCCGATCCCCTCCCTATCATGTGATTCAGGTGTTCCAATCCCCTCCCTATCATGAGATTCAGGTGTTCCAATCCCCTCCATATCATGTGATTCAGGTGTTCCAATCCCCTCCAATCATGTGATTCAGGGTGTTCCAATCCCCTCCCTATCATGTGATTCAGGTGTTCCAATCCCCTCCATATCATGTGACTCAGGTGTTCCAATCCCCTCCCTATCACGTGATTCAGGTGTTCCAATCCCCTCCCTATCACGTGATTCAGGTGTTCCAATCCCCTCCCTATCACGTGATTCAGGTGTTCTAATCCCCTCCCTATCACGTGATTCGGGTGTTCCAATCCCCTCCCTATCACGTGATTCGGGTGTTCCAATCCCATCCCTATCACGTGATTTGGGTGTTCCAATCCCCTCCCTATCACGTGATTCGGGTGTTCCAATCCCCTCCATATCACGTGATTCGGGTGTTCCAATCCCCTCCCTATCACGTGATTCAGGTGTTCCAATCCCCTCCATATCATGTGATTCAGGTGTTCCAATCCCCTCCATATCATGTGATTCAGGTGTTCCAATCCCCTCCATGGACACAGGTGTATACAATCACGCCCCTAGGCATGCAGACGGCTCTTACAAACATTGGTGAAAGAATGGGTCCCCCTCAGGAGCTCAGTGACTCCAAGCGTGGTCCCGTGATAGGTGGCCACCTGGGCAATAAGTCCATCCGTGACATTTCCTGGCTACTAAATATTCCACGCTCAACTGTTAGTGGGATTATAACAAAGTGGAAGCAACTGGGAACAACAGCCACTCAGCCACCAAATGGTAGGCCACGTCACATGACAGGGCGGGGTCAGCGCATGCTGAAGCGCACGGTGGGCAGAAGTCGCCAACTGTCTGCAGAGTCAATAGCTAAAGACCTCCAAACTTGGTGTGGCCTTCAGATGAGCCCAACAACAGTGCGTAGAGAGCTTCATGGAATGGGTTTCCATGGCCGAGCAGCTGCATCCAAGCCTTCCATCACCAAGTGCAATGCAAAGCGTCGGATGCCGTGGTGTAAAGCACGCTGCCACTGGACTCTAGAGCAGAGGAGACGTGTTCTCTGGAGTGACCAATCATACTTCTCTGTCTGGCAATCCGATGGACGTGTCTGGGTTTGGCGGTGGCCAGGAGAACGGTACTTGCCTGACTGCATTGTGTCAAGTGTAAAGTTTGGTGGAGGGGGATTATGGTGGGGGTTGTTTTTTAGGGGTTGGGCTTGGCCCCCTAGTTCCAGTGAAGGGAACTCTTATGGCGACATTTTGGACAATTTCATGCTCCCAACTTTGTAAGAACAGTTTGGGGATGGCCCCTTCCTGTTCCAACATGACTGCCCGCCAGTGCACAAAGCAAGGTCCATAAAGACATGGAGGAGCCAGTTTGGGGTGGAGGAACTTGACTGTCCTGCACAGAGTCCTGACCTCAACCCCATAGAACACCTTTGGGATGAATTAGAGCGGAGACTGCGAGCCAGGCCTCCTCCCCCGACATCAGTGCCCTCCCCCGACATCAGTGCCTGACCTGACAAATGTGCTTCTGGAAGAATGGTCCAACCTTCCCATAGACACCCTCCTAAACCTTGTGGACGGCCTTCCCAGAAGAGGTGAAGCTGTTATTATAGCTGCAAAGGGCGGGGCCAACTCAATATTGAACCCTACGGATTAAGACTGGGGGGGCCATTAAAGGTCATGTCGGTGGAAAGGGCGGGGCCAACTCAATATTGAACCCTACGGACTAAGACTGGGGGGGCCATTAAAGGTCATGTGTGTGGAAAGGGCGGCGACCAATACTTGGGGCAATATAGTGTACACCAACCAGCACCAAAGAAAAAAACCTGAAATCTTCTGAAACTAAATCAATTGGATTGATAAAACCAAAACTGTCATGGACATCACCATAAAAAGTTATGTTTGAAGGATTCACCAAAGCCTATGAAGAGAAGCACACCAGCTCTACTGTGAAGCATGATGGTGGATCTCTGCTATTTGAGGGTGTGAGAGCACACTGGCCTAGTGGTTAGCACTTCTGCCTCGCAGCATTGAGGTCCTAAGATTGAATCCCAACCAGATACTTTCTGCATGGAGTTTGCATGTTCTCCATGCAATGTATGGGTATCCGTCTATATTCCAGAGACATATTGGCTCCTCTCTAAATTGTCCCTAGTATGTGAGATAGGAACTTTACAGTAGATTGTAAGCTCCTCGAGGGCGGGGACTGATGTGAATGTACGGAATTTAAATTGCTGGTGCTTTTGCATAAATGAATACTACATCCGTTTACATCCTCTTTTGGTCTGTTTTTCATCCATTTTTTTTTTTTTTGGTTTGTTTTCATCTGTTTACATCAGTTTTTGGTCCATTTACATCTGTTTTTTTACATCCATTTAGATCCGTTTTTTTTTTTTTCATTGTTTATATCCGTCCGTTTACATCTGTTGTAGTCAATTTACATCTGTTTTTCATCTGTTTATATCCGTTTACATCCATTTTTGTCCGTTTACATCTGTTGTAGTCAATTTACATCTGTTTTTCATCTGTTTATATCCGTTTACATCCATTTTTGTCCGTTTACATCTGTTGTAGTCAATTTACATCTGTTTTCATCTGTTTACAACCATTTTTGGTCCGTTTTTCGTCTGTTTTGTTTTTTTTTTAATGGAAGAAAAATAAAGTTTTTTTCCGTTCAAAACAATGGATGTAAAAAGATGTGGACATTACCGGATGTAAACAGACGATCATCCGTTTACATCTGCTAGTCCATAGAAATACATGGGGGTCCTGTTTTTCATCCGTAAACGGACATACGGAGCGCCGGGGGAAAGGGGTCTTATACACGTGTCGTGCTAACAAGCAATCGTGACATAAATATAGAAATATACCACAACAAATTGTCACGGGGCAGCACAGTGGATAAGTAGTTACCACTTCCGCCTGGCAGTACTCGGGTCGTTGGTTCGAATCCCAGCCACGGCACCACCTGCCTGGAGTTTGCATGTTCTCCCTGTGCCTGCATGGGTTTCCTCCGGGTACTCCAGTTTCCTCCCACACGCCAAAGACATGCTGGGAGGTAATTGGCTCCTGTCTAAATTGGCCCTAGTATGTATGAATGTGAGTCAGGGACCTTAGATTGTACGCTCCTCGGGGGCGGGGACTGATGTGAATATATAATATGTATGTAAAGTGCTGCGTAAATTGGCGGCGCTATATAAGTACCTGAAATAAATAAATATAACTAGAATAAATAGTGCAAAAAAAATGTATAAAAGTCCAAAAAAAAAAAATTTTTTTGCAAATATGTGAGCGCGGCGTGTCGGGCCACTTACAATGTACAGCGACTTTCATGATTTGCACGATTATTTATTGCACTTCGTTCACATATTTACACAAACACACTTTTATTTACATTTTTTTATTTTTATTCTAGTTATGTAACAATTTGTTGTGATACATTTCTATATTTATGTCACGATTGTTGATTAGCACGACACGAGGGATCCTGATTGTTAGAGTTGGGGGGCGGTAACACTATTCTACACATTTTTTTACATCGTTTTGGGAGATCACCCAAAAAAAAAAAGAATTTAGCTGCTTTCCTCCTATTAACCCCTCCCCCTGTAGAGAATCCCTCCCCCAGAGGATTTCCCCTCCCCCTCCAGAGATCCCCCCCCTCCAGAGGATTTCCCCTCCCCCTCCAGAGAATCCCCCCCTCCAGAGGATCCCCGCCCTCCAGAGGATTCCCCCCCTCCTTCAGAGGATTCCCCCCCTCAGAGGATTTCTCCCCCCCCCCCCTCCAGAAAAATCCCTCCCTCCAGAGGATTTCCCCTCCCCCTCCAGAGAATCCCCCCCTCCAGAGGATTCCCCCCCCTTCAGAGGATCCCCCCCCTCAGAGGATTTCCCCTCCCCCCTCCAGAGAATCCCCCCCCCCCTCCGGAGGATTTCCCCTCCCCCTCCCCTCCAGAGAATCCCCCCCTCCAGAGGATCCCCTCCCTCCAGACGATTCTCCCCCCCCCTTCAGAGGATCCCTCCTCTAGAGGATCCCTGCCCTCCAGAGGATTCCCCCCTCCTTCAGAGGATCCCCCTCCAGAGGATTTCCCCTCCCCCTCCAGAGAATCCCCCCCTCCAGAGGATTTCCTCTCCCCCTCCAGAGAATCCCCCTCTCCAGAGGATTCCCCCTCCCCCTTTCCTGACCCGGCCATTTTTTGCAATTCGGCGCTGCATTACTTTAACTGACAATTGCGCGGTCATGCAATGCCGCACCCAAATGAAATTTTCGTCCTTTTTTCCCCAGAAATGGAGCTTTCTTTCAGTGGTATTTGATCCCCTGCGTGGTTTTTAATTTTTTGCGCTAGGAAAAAAAAAAAACAGTTTTGAGAAAAAAACATTTTGGACTTTTTGCTATTAACCGTGTCCAGTGAAAAAATTTAAAAAATCAAATTGTGTCAGAAATTTCAGCCAAAATGTCTCCCGCTCCGTGTCTTCACTGTGACATCGCGCTCCGTGTCTTCGCCGTGACCTCCCGCTCCGTGTCTTCGCTTTGTGTCACATCCCGCTCCGTGTCTTTGCTGTCACATCCCGCTCCGTGTCTTTGCTGTCACATCCCGCTCCGTGTCTTTGCTGTCACATCCCGCTCCGTGTCTTTGCTGTCACATCCCGCTCCGTGTCTTTGCTGTCACATCCCGCTCCGTGTCTTTGCTGTGACATCCCGCTCTGTGTCTTCGCCGTGACATCCCGCTCCCGCTCCGTGTCTTTGCTGTCACATCCCGCTCCGTGTCTTCGCTGTGACATCCCGCTCTGTGTCTTCGCTGTCACATCCTGCTCCGTGTCTTTGCTGTCACATCCCGCTCCGTGTGTTCGCTGTCACATCCCGCTCCGTGTCTTTGCTGTCACATCCCGCTCCGTGTCTTTGCTGTCACATCGCGCTCCGTGTCTTCGCTGTGACATCCCGCTCTGTGTCTTCGCTGTCACATCCCGCTCCGTGTCTTTGCTGTCACATCCCGCTCCGTGTCTTCGCTGTCACATCCCGCTCCGTGTCTTCGCTGTCACATCCCGCTCCATGTCTTTGCTGTCACATCCCGCTCCGTGTCTTCGCTGTGACATCCCGCTCTGTGTCTTTGCTGTCACATCCCGCTCCGTGTCTTTGCTGTCACATCCCGCTCCGTGTCTTTGCTGTCACATCCCGCTCCGTGTCTTTGCTGTGACATCCCGCTCT